TTACCATACTTAATAGCAGATAAAATCTGCTATCCTTCAATTTACATTTACACTATTATAAAGTTAGGCTAAGTACTAGTAGCCTATGGTAACTGGGGGAGCATAAGCCTAACAGACATTCCAATTTTGGAGATTTTTTAACCTTTATTGGTGGGGAGGGCCAGATATATACTATGAAATATGATAAATACTGATCAGTTATTGTATTTTACATTTAATAACTACAAGTTTAAAAAAAAAAAAAAAAACTTAAATTAAAAAAAAAAAAATTAAAGTTTTAAAATTATATATTTATCTATACCTATGTTTATGTATACAAGAAAATAATGATGCCTTCCATGTTACACATTAAAAAAACAAAAAACTAACAAGTTCAATTCTTAGCCAGAACTATCACAATTTTTCATTAAATAGTTTTTTTTTTAGTACTTTCACATCTCTGAAGGCAAGAAACATCCACTATTTTCATTTGTACTTGAAAAATTAAGTTTTTTGTAGCCTTAAAAAAAACAAAACAAAACAACAAAAAAAACACACACGGATATAATTTCTGTGATGTAAACACTTTATGCCTGATGCATAAAACTGGGTAGAATAAGGATAGAATTCTTATATATATATATATATATAAAGCTGTATTTGTTTACCTTGACCACTTTATTTTTTTTTTTTACTCCTAGCACTGTATAATGAATATGAAATCTAATAAATATACATTTTTGGCCCCTTTGATATTCTAAAGGGATAGCTAGTGAAGACTACCAGAGAGCAAAGTATTGTGATAAAACAACAAAGATGAAGGTGTGAGTGTGAGTAAAAGAATTCTTAAAAAGCAAAGTGTTAAATCGTTTAAACTTAAAAGAGAAGAGAGACTCTTCTAGTTACAATATTTTGTAACATTACCAAGGAGACACTTATTTTACAGAACGATCCTACAGTCATACGAGGCAAAGTAACTAAATAAATAAATAAATCAAAAACTGTTTAAATCTAACCTTAATAAATTCTGTAGACAATCAATATAGAAAGATCTTAAAGTATAGTTTCCAGAATTAGGTTTTTGTTTAACGGCATATCAACCTCTATGGGTGTTGTATCTCATGTTTTTGTGACAACAGAGAGAAATAAATAATGAAGACAAACTTGTAAATAAGTAATGAAATAGAAGGTTTACTATACAAAAGTACACTAAGCAACTGATCTAATGCTAACTCTGCTCAAATCCACTTAATCTCACTTATTTACATAAACGGATGATTCCATTCATTTATGTCCTATATGACAATGGGTCACTTGATGCCGAAATCTAAAATATTTTGTACACAATTTTTATTTTTTAGGATAATGATATAGTGATACAAGTTTTACTAATTAACCCATAGCTGGAGAGAGAAGATGTGGATTCATACCTTTCCCAAGGGTATTTGTGTGCAAGTGAATATAATTAACTCAACTGGAACTCTGCTCTCCAATTAACAATTCTGAGCCATTATTCATTACACCACCTGGACATCCAAGCTTATAGCATCTGGTATTTCCAAGCGGTCACCCATGTATGTACTGACTAGGCTTGATGTTGCTTAACTTCAGTGCTTGTACAGGAACCAGTGTTTCTGTGTGATGTGGCTGTAAGCCTCCAGAATTAGGATTAGCTCACAAGAGAACCAGAGAATTTTTAAAGGTATTTTCTTTTTTTCATTTTAAAATCAAGCTGCTCCTTAATAATTATGATAAATACACTACTAAATTTTTTTTTTAAGCTGAGTATTTTGATTAGAGTAAGAGAATACATTGCTGGTTTTGGTTTTAATAACAGCAATCAGATGGGTTAACATTTTGAGTTTTTCTTGTATCATAATGAACATATACTGCAAGCAAAATTGTTCTTTAACTGAAACCTAAGTTGCCTTTTTAGCCCCAGTAAAACAAGAGAAGCAACATTTTTACATCGAGACAAGTTATCAATGAAAATGCAGGCATACAAGGAAAAGATGTCAATTACAAGCAGTTATGTGACTTGTCATTGTGAACAAATGTTCAGATATGATAAACAATTCTTGGGAGATAAATCAAAGCAAACATGCTTTATATATTTTCTTTTTAGAGGTGAAAATAATGAACCTCCCAGTACCCAAATATGCTTTATATCTTTTCTCTTCAGAGGTAAAAATAATGAATCTTCAAGTACCTCAAAGTTGATAGTCTGCCAATGTGACCAAACCATACACAATGTCTTCATCTTCAAGGAAGTTTCATACGATTTTTTTTCTTTTTTTTTTTAAAACTAAATTTCTAAAAAAATTTGGGATCAAGCATTTTGGTTGATGTATCAGCAAAATTATCTTTGTAAGCTGTTCCAAGAGATTCCTTGCTTCCACTGATTGCATCACTCTCTAAAGATTGCTTTAAATCATTGTATGATAAAGAAATTCCATCAAGGTTGCAGCAGCTACTGCCAATAGTTTCAAACTTTCCCAATTATCCTATTCCATGCAGAATACTGCAAAATTATTTGCTGGCGTTGTACAAGAGGAATCACTGCGACCAGAGATAATCATTTTTCCAATTTTTTTTCTTTTTACTAGAGATTAAATATCCATTTTTTTTTCTTTTTAAAGAAAATTAGTAGGGGGGGGCAAGTTGCTATGTAAATTAATCTTTCTTTCTCTATATGCCATGTTCCTTCATGACATAGGCGATCAAGGCCCTCCACAACTTCCTGCCTTTTGTAGCTCTCAGTATAGTTTGTCATTTTGCTATAACGTATATAATCATGATATCAGACGTTTTCATGTATAGTACGATCCTGAATTATTTTTTACATGAATTTTAACCCCTCCAGAAAAAAATTTACCTGTGCAATTGGTCACCCAACCTGGTCACATGACTTAACCTTTAAAAAAAAAAAAAATTACTTGTGTATAGTACAACCACCTAATTCAGGTTTTTAAAAGAAAATACTAAAAACTCACATTATACACTATGTATATACAGCCTCTCCTAATAGTTGTTCTGCCAACCATTTATACAAACTTGTTATGTGGTGCTTTCTTCTGTCCGCTTTACCTTCAATATGTTCTGTGAGTGCCAAATTTTCCAAGCCCTCTTTCCTCATTATGAGAGCTAAAAGTTTCAACTATTTTTCTGATAAGTGACCTTTTTGTTTCTATTTTCTCTAAAACTGTTGTTGCTCACATATTCAGTCCATGGTATCCTCAGCATCCTTCTGTAGAACCACATTTCTGCTGCTTCAAGTCTCTTCATCTGTGAGGTGATTGCCCAGCATTCACTGCTATTTAGGAGGACTGATATTACGTAACAGTTCAGTACTCTTTTTTTTTTTTTTTTTTTTTTAACTAAATTTTCCCAATTTCTAAACTTCTAAGCTTTTGGAAGGCACCTTTTGCCATCCCAATTCGCCTTTGGATTTCAGTGTCACACTTTACGTCCTCTATTAAAACACTTCCTAGCTATTTAAAATCTCCAATTTGTAATTCACATGTTCCTCTCTCTTCTTACAGTTGATTTTTAGTACTTTCTTTTTGCCTTCCTTTGCTGCTTTATGTAGGAGTTTTAGTTTCATTTCTGTATCTGATATCAACACTGTGTCATCCGCATATCTAACATTTTTAAGATTGTGGCCACCAATAATAAGTCCTGGTAGGACTTCTAATTCTCTCAAAATTAGACACTGTAAAGGTTGAATAAGTCTGGTGAGAAGACACATCCTTGTCTTATGCCCAATTTCTATTTTTGTGTATTTACTGAATTCATTTTCTATCCTCATGCAGGCAGTTTGCTCCCAATATGGGCTCTGGCTAATTCTAATATCTTTCCCAAATAAATCAAGCTTATCTGGCAGTTCACATAGTTCTTTGTGATGTACCTTGTCAAACACTTATGCATAATCCATAAAATAGATATACATTTATTTGCATTGCTTTTTCTGATATCATTCTTAGCATAAATATCACATTCCTTGTTTCAGTGATTTTAATAAAGCTGTATTCTTATCTTATTTCTGGTTTAATTCTGCTGCATGCTTCTATCAATTTAAAAAAAAAAAAAATGATTCATTTAACTTTAAGAAACCACATGGTTATAAGCATGTTTCGTTTCAATTTCTGTTGAGAGTGATTTACAATGAATTTACATAGAAAACTAGACACCCATATTAATGTTTAGAAAATTTAATTTTTTTGTATTCATAATCTGGAGTGTTTAATCTATAGTAATATAAAAAAAAAAAAGATATTAGAAAAAGTGATTATCTTTTTTTTTTTGTCGCAGTACTTATTGAACAACTGTACCAATTATTCCCACAACAAAAATAGAACTTTTAGTCACATTTAAATATAAAATTCTTAGGCTTGTCACTATTAAAAAAAAAAAAAAAAAATACTGTATTCACTATTTGAAAGAAATCCATTTAAGAGAAGAAACAGTTTCTAACTACCATTTCCTGAGCCTTGGACAAGAGAAGGTTAGAATTTCCAATGAAAATGATAGAAGGAAAAAAAAAATGAAAACACAGAAAACTAACAATAGTAACAAAGAGAAAGAAGACAAAGCAGAACAGATTAGTGAGATCAGAGTTAAAAGAAAAAAAAAAAAAAAAAAGGGCAAAGAGGACATAGCAGTGGCAAGAAGGGGGAGAAGAAAAGGTTTGTGAGAGGAATGGCTGTGGTAGCAGCAGCAGCAGCAATAGTGGCTGAAGTTTGAAAGTGTGAGAGTCCATGCACAGTTCCGTTGTAGTGTACCTGAGGTGGTGATTGGTCAAGGTTTAACCTGCTGCCCAGAGAAAAAGTAAATGCACCAATCTGCTGCTGCTGGTGTTGCAGCTGGAGCTGCCCTGGCTCTCTTGCAGCAGCAGAGCAGCATGGAGGAGTAGAAGTAGTAGTAGTAGCAGCAGTGGTGGTGGTGGTGGTGATACTTTCAATGGCAGTAGAATCACTACTGCCGTCGGCTGGCAGTAGCAGCACTGTGGGGCTGACGCTCACCTCCTGTTTGGCCTGCTCAGCCTCTTTCTGGGCATCAGTCATGTTGGACTTCCAAAGGATCTCTTTGTGTTCCAGTTTGTCTTTTAATGCCTCCAACTCTCGGTAAGATTCTTGCAGTTTGTTGTAATCAGAGGACAGCTGCAAATTTTCTTTCCTTGATCTGAAAAGAATGCATGAAGTCAGAATACAAGATTGTTAAATGGATGATCTTCTTAGAGAGAATTAGTTTAAGTCCAGGACAGGAGGATTTTCTGACATCTATTGGAACAAAAAAAAAAAAAAAAAAAAAAAGCAGCTTAAATAGTTAGAAATCTCTTTTGCAATGAAGAGGTTTTTATCAAGGTTAAGAAAGTTCATTATACAAAAGTGACGGCAATTCAAGCAGGTAGTCACTCAAAAAGCATAGATCTAATTTAACTGGAATTTCAATGACAATCTCAGAAAGATTTTCTGAATGCACAAATGACAGGAGCCAAGAGTAATAAGTAAAAAAAAAAAAATCTATTTCAGTATATTTTTTTTTAATGGTTTATCCATTCAAGACATAGGCAGCCATGACTTCTCAAAAAAAAAAAAAAAAAAATAAAATAAAATAAAAAGTAAAAAAAATAAAGATAAAAATAAAAAGAGAGAAGTCATGGTTGCTTATGTCCTGAATGGACAAGCCACTTAAAAAAATAAATAAAAAAAAATTTTACTATATTTATGTGTTGTCATTTATTCTTGGGAAAGATTGTAGAGTGGTTTCATTTACCCATTGCCTTCTCTACAACTTAGCATTCAGAGTTTTCCTCTTAGACTGGTTGCCATCTAAAGATGGAGCACAGTCTAGATTGCTATTTAACCCATAGCTCAAAGGAGAAGAAATGTTTTCATGTCTTTCCCAAGGGTATTTGTGCAAAAATGAATGCAACTAGCCCATAATTTGAACCCATTATGTCAATTATACTTCCAGTGCCAATATTTTTTATACTACCCACACATCCAATTGAAAAACAAGAGACTCAATTTTCACCATACAATAAAACATTTTCATATGAATCTTATTTGTTACTTACAGCTTCATCTCAGCTTCTATAGCTTGTATCCTCTTCCTCAGGTTTGTACATTCTTCTTTCAATGAATTCAATTCACCTTGAAAAGAAATTTATGAAAATATTTATAAATGAAGATATCCCTCATAAAAATTGGAGCTGATCAAATTTGTAATAATACAAACAATTTTTTTTTTATTGTCTGACAATAGAAACTATAATATCTATATTTATTTACTATATTATGACCAATTAACATTGTCAGTGTGTCACACTTTTTCAATTTTACTCCGAGAGGCCATAGCCCAACAAACCATTTTAAAATCAGGCCGATTCCATGAGAAAATTATAAACATTCCAGGCCGGATCCGAACCTGCAATCCTGAAACTTTTGGTTCAAGTTTTCATTACCGTAATTGTTTTTGGTGATTTTTTTTTTTTTTTTGTACAATAACTTTTATAACTTGTAAATAAATTTGGGAATAATTGAAATTGATTGCGAAATCCAATGAAAGTCACCCATGAAATAAAAATAATTGTTTGTATGGAAGGTTGTCTTTAAATTAAATGGTGGTAGAAGAATTATCAGTAAGCTTTTAAAAGGTAAGCTTAAATATTAATGCAATACTTAAATGCAGCAATCAATTTTGAGTTCGTCTGTAGCTTACTGTTGCCTATAGCATACAGCAGCAGTATGCCTCGCAAAAAGAAATCTCCAACAGATAATCAGATTGCCCAGGCTGCAACCAAGGAAAAGAAAGTCCCATGCAAATGAAAGCCCAGATCAAACAGCAGCCAGGAGAGCTTCCAATGCTGAGAATAAGCAAACACTGAAGGACTATCAAACACCTGAACAAGCCAAAGACCCTCCATAGGAGCTAGCTTAAATGCCACCTGATAAGCCAGCTTTTAAGCTAGTTTTTAATAAAAAACAAAAATATTACAAAATGAAATTCACATTATATGTCCTGAAATTTTTATTAATGTTGGATGGTTGATACCAATTTTATTGATAGAAAATTGACTTACACAATAAAATGCCAGCATAAAGTACTTACATGTCTTACTATTGTGAGATAATTAACCTTAATTTAGAGATAAATATTAAACCTCTTATCTAAAAATGAGTGATTATTTTGTTTACTGCTTATTAACCACTTGCAGGTTATTTAAAGGCAGAAAATATTTTAGACTATTTGATTTTATGGAGAATTATTTACTGATATAACCCCTACTAATTAATCCATAGCTGGGGAAGAAGAGGTGGATTCATACCTTTTCCGAGCATATTTGCACATCGGTGAATATAACAAACCAGAGTGGAATTCGATTCAATTTTAAATTCTAAGTCATTAGCCATTACATCACCTGCATATTCAAGCTTCCAATAAAGGGTTTGCCCAAGAGATCACCAAATCTTTTTACTGATCATGCTAAATGTTGCTTAACTTTTGTGAACATACAAGAACCTGTGTTTCAATGTGATATGGCTGTAAGCCAGATCTAACATTGATTAAATTTTTTTTTTTTTTTTTTTAAATCTCATTACTAGTATATACCAAACAATATTTAAGATTGAGTAAAAATTCTATGTATTCAAAGAGCATAAGAGCCTTTCTCTTCCTTTAATGCAGTAATTCTATTTAATTGCCTGCTCTTTTAAGTCTGTCTCTAGATATCAGTTGTAGGAATTTTCAATGAATAAGCAAATAACAAGCATTAAAACTATTTACCTCTTATTTATAATTACAACCCCAAACAAGGCAATAAAACCACTAAGATACAAGGGTTACTTAGAGTGAAAGAAACTGGAAACAATGTTATTGGGGGAAAAAAAAAATGACAATAAAAAGGACATAATACAAGGAGGTAGAAAACAATGAGTGGTGTTGCATCTGATTTTTCTTTTTAAAAAACTAATTGATGAGAAAGCAAAATGCTGAAAGAGATCCACAGGTGAAAAATTCAGGTGAAGAATTGATTAGAATAGCTGTTCTATTCTAATCAATTCTTCACCTGAAGTATTATTTACACAAAATGTCTTGGTTTAATTTTGAAGGATATTTTCTTCTTCCAATATAAAAGCTTAACAAGCAAAATTGAAATTCTTGGAGTGACAACATACTGAACTGTCAAGCATTACAAGTTCTGGTTTAGGTATGTTTCATTAATTGTATGAGGAAAATAAAAAGTTACCTACTAAAATAATCATCTTGTAATTGTGATATATTCAAATTTATTCATAAAATGTGACATTTTTGTAGCTGGATATTTTGTTCTGAAAGGAGTATGATACTATTCTTTATGGAACCTAATGATTCTTACAATCATGCACAATGGCCTTCTCAGATTCTTCGGGCATTTTCAATGCAAGTTGTGCACAAGTCGAAGCATTTGCCACTTTTTTTGTAGAATTTGATGGTTGACACATCAGTGAAGAAATAGATTGGATATGCCATGTGTGGAGCCATAAACTAGTATCAAGTAAAAAAAAATTTAAGAAAATAACAGCAACATTTTCAACATGACCTCTGATGACCAGAGATTATTGAGTCAGATGATTTAAAAGGCAAACAGTTTCAGAAATCTTTGCTCATTTGATACCATGCTGCTTTGGTACAAAAAGTTGATTTTATTATAAAACATCTTTACTATATATAAATTCAGCCATGCTCGAAGTCACAAATCCTAGCTTGCAAATCATTATTATTATTGTAGCTAAATGCAATGAAGAACCATGTGCTAATTTTGCATGACAGTCCCCAATTCAGACTGGTGTGTATTTCCAAGTTTTGAAGTTTAATTATATTGACATTCATCAATTTTAAAACATTCAGTTGAAAGCTACAAAAATCATAGCTACTAATCTGAAGAATGAGAATGATATCAAATATTTAGTTGCAATTCAGTTATATATTTGTAAAATCTGCAATGTCTATATCCAAGTTTTGGATAAGCTAGTTTGTTAAGCCATCCATATTGATATAACCAACTTGGTATTAGGCTAATGTCTTGATTTTCACATCTCACCATTTCTCTGAATAAAAGTTTTGTATGATAGGATCTTGATTGTGGTCTGAAAATGGGTGGGATCTGCCAGGTCTACTTAGTCCAATACATACTACATATGAATACTGAGAGAGATGTGTGGAGGGAGTTGGTCAGGTGTCAAGCTACACAGTGATACCATGACCACACCTGGTCACGGGACTAATGATGATGATAACTATATCATTATTAGTTAAATGCAATTTCAGTTTAAACTATTCTTTCCCCATATATTGAGACTATTTTGCTTGAAGTTTGTATTGATTTCAGATACAAATTTAAATTCTCTAACATATTTCAGTGACATTTTCACTTTCCAAAATTATAGTTTAGGTATGCGTCAAGAATATTTTAAGGATGTTTAAAAACACAAATGAAAGTCAGTTTTACTATAATACCTAAATAAGCTTTAACAGCATCCCACATCTCTAAGTTACAAAAGAAAGACTGTTTTTCATTTTCATTTGCAAATGAGTTTCTCAATTTTCCAAGAAAAAATAAAGGGGAAATAACCCAAATAATATTTACTTTTGCTTTTTGCTGTGGGCCTGTGCGTCGAGTCGTGCATGCTCTTACCATGGTGCGTGTCTTTTTGACGAGTATTTTTCTCAGTTTCAAGTTCTTCCTGTAGAACCTTCACTTTATCTGGAGAAAAAAAGGAATGTCAGATCTAATAACGACAAATATCCAGTGTCCTCAATCATTTCATTAGTTCATCACAGATGGATTTAAAAATCAACATTTTGTTCTTCCTTTGAGGGAATAAAATGTTTCAGGATGTTGGCAAATAGCCAGGGATGTCATGCAAATATTTTTATATACAAAATTTATTCAGATTTTTTTTTCTTGTCCTATAAATAGTATTTCAAATATTTATATATATATATATTTATTTATTTATATATATATATATTTTATAAATATATTTATATATATATATATATATATATATATGAAGCCAGGACAATCCTTCATTTTGTTATACTATTTTATGTCCAATGATCAATAAATCATTTGAAAGATGTCCTAAATGCTCTGTTTCTTGCCAGTATAATAAACAGGCCTGAATGTCCTTTTGATGATATTCATAGAAAATGTGTCCTAACTGTTTATGCATAAAAAAATGGCATAGCACATCAGGCTATGTGATAGAAATATTTAAGTAAATGCTGTTTATAAACAGACCTGAATTCAGGTATAAAAATTGTCCTTAGTTAAATGGCATTCCACATCATACAGGTTCAATTTTTGTCGAAGGACACAATTTTCAATGAAAGTTCTTGGATATTCAGGTCGGTAAATGTAGTTAATACTGTTTATTATAAATGGAGCATTTACTTAAATATTTGTATCTATAAAAATGTATAAACAGAAAATATATTAAAATAATTGTTGGACTTAGTCCATTTATATATGGTGTGATGAATAAATTATCCTCTCAATTATGCAAAAATGAAAATAACACTGACATCTCATTTTAACATATTTACCAAAACTGCACAAAAATATCTAGAAATACGAAAGAGCCTTCATATGACTTCAGAATCTCTTCTGGATGGTCTCCTTGTTTAAGTTAGTGAATGCTGGCATAATCTTTGCCTTCAGTTCATCCTTGGTGTTACATGGAGTTTTGTTGGTCTTTTGCTTAACTGCACCCCATGCATAATAATCAAGGGGGTTGCAGTCTGAGGAGTTAGGTGGCCAGATGTAAGGGGTGATGTGGCCACAGAAATTGTCTTACAGCCATGACTGGGTTCCCCTGCTTGTGTGACATAGTGCAGAGTTCTGTTGCCAGATATAGGGTCTTCCAGCAGCCACCCTCTTGACCCAGGGTAGCACTACTACAAGGAACTTTATGTATGCCTCCATGTTGTGTTTGAGGCCCTGTGGGAAGATGAATGAAGGCATAACATTGCCATCACTAGTGATCACACCAAACACCTTCGTTATCACCCTTAGACTCATCCAAATTTTTCCAAATCCTCTGTACTGTCCTCTGATTGACATCCAAACACTCTGAAATGTTAATATTGGAGCTCCCAGCACAAATGCCAAGCAGTTCAGCATGCCATTTCCAAACTTCTGGCAGAGCGAATTGTGTCATGGTGCTCTTTCTCACAGATGGTGCCCAACTGACCCTACGATACTATGCAGTTGACAAAATCAAAAGCAAACAACATACATGTGCAAAATTAAAAATATAAAATGGCATTATATATATATATATATATATATATATATATATATATATATGCGCACATACTGAACATTGTACTTACTTCTGAGCTGTTCTGCCTCATTTCGGTTTTGTTTGGCAGATTGTTGTGCCTCCTGGAGTTGTCCTGTAATAGCCAAAAAACATTTCATTCAATCAACCAGAGAAAGATATAACATTTAATGTTCAACCAATAAAATCAACCGATGAACAAATATACTTAGAGCTGACAAGAGAAACTCAATCTTCACTGTCATAATAAAATAAAATCAACAAATTCATGATGGCGATTTACAACAAAAATAGATTATTTTTAATGATTTTTTAATTCTTGCATTTATGCCGAGATGTTGATTTGTAGTAAAATCTCTTTTCAAAAATTTTATTTAATAACCTTGAAGTGCTCTAAACATTTTTACAATTCAGAAACTCAGGAAGAATTGACACAAACAAGTGCCACATTTTTCAAAACAACCAATAAATAAATACACAAACAAATTCTTAGCCAAACTATCATATTTACAATTTTCCATTTACAAGGATTAAAAAAAAAAATCTGCAATTTTAATCTAAATATTCAAGAATGTTTGTATTTTTTTTTAAATATCTGAAATATAAAATTAGGACCCTTGACTAGGCAAAGTGATGCACACATGATTGTGCCACTACTGTTGCCTTGTGCCATACGTCAATATGCCAAAGGAAACTGAACAACGCTTAATAATCATGAGACACTGAATAAATAATCAGCCAAAAACCTAGCAAGATACACCATGTGTATGATTGTATCAGGCCCAAGGAAAAAAAAAAAATGTATACAAATGTTTATAACATCTATCAATTACTGAAATTCTTATTTGTTCATATTCTGCTGTTTGGAGTAAGAGTGTATGTCATAATTAAATATGACAGTTACAAAATTTGGAACAAATCTATATAAGTTAGTTTATACTTTTCTTTTGTAATTTCCAGTATTGAAAGAAATGGGTCAAGGTCTTTAGCAAATCACCAACTTCAATATTTTTGCAACTAGAAATTAGTTTTTTTTTTGCTTTTTTTTTTTTTAATCTAATATTTTAAAGTGTGAAAAAAATAAAAAATAAAAATCACTTTATTTTTACCAGTGTTTCAAATTAGAAAAATTTGAAAATACTTTCAAATCTCACAGGTACTTATATTTTCAGAATTCTTAACTACTAATAAAAATAAGTATTTTGCTATCTACCTGTAAGTGAAAAATTCACTTCATGTATCAAACTTTCATTTTGGAGGCAACAATAAAGCTAACTGGCTATATATATATATATATATATATATATATATATATATATATATGGCTTCATTTTACTTTTTTTTTATCTTAATATTTACACATTTCTTTTATTAAGGGTCATCTGCAATATTTATTATAATTGGAAAAAAAAAATTCCACAGAAAATTCAAAGTGGAAATTTATAGCAAGCAGAATCCAGCACTTCATATATATTTATATTTCTGATGTACACAATGAAAGTAAAAGGAAAATATGTTTAAAATTCACTGGTCAAGTTGTATCCATTTGCAGAAAATTAAAAAATAGAGAGATAGATTAATGAAAAAAAGAATCAATCACTTACGCTTTTTCTCCATAAGCTCATCTTGAGTCTCTTTATGCCTTGTTTTCTCATGTTCAAGTTGATCTTTTAGGTTTGAGGAGGGAGAGAGAGAGAAAAAATAGCAATTAATAATAATAATAATAATAAAAAAAAGACAATTCTTAATTGCTAAAAGCAAAGAAAAAATTTTTCGAAATAAGATTACAAATAAGTTACCAAGTTCTCCTTTTTTGCAAAATATCAAGTCTGCTTCCTAATGCAGTTAGAGAAATGAGATGTGACTACAAAATGGAGCAGCTAATTCTTGTGATAAAGCTCAGGTATCTTTTTTTCTTCTGTGCCATTGTTTTCAAGAATTGTCTATACGAGTTGTAAATGCCTCCTTCCTCACTGATATTAATCCACAATTTGTCAAGGGGGAACATTTTGGGAGTCACAAGACAAAACAATAACATTGTATAATATCCATTTTAAAAATTTATCAATTAAGAGAAAAAGGAACTTCCAGTTTTGAAAATATTTTTGACATACAAATGCATTTAAAATACTATTAAACTTTTTTCTTTTTTTTTTAACTATTTTAATCACTTAAATTTGAAAGGTCTTGCAGTCAATTCCATAGAAGTGAAACTGTAAAGACTATTTAAATGAATTACTTAAGTATTACTCTTATCATTAACTAGTTATGCATCTTAATTTGTTATATGTTTAAGACATTTTCCTGGTCATCCTTGCTATGATTGTCCTTGACCATTTGACATTTAGAATACTTTGTAATGTTAAATAACAGTCATTTTATATATATATATTTACACACACACTAACATTTATATAAGTATAAGCATTATTTAATGCTGAATATTTTTCAGGCTAATATGTCATTTGTTTACAAGATCAGTATCTATCTATATTTCTGAGATGAGGTATTATGTACACTATTTACATTATTTGGACTATTGTCCTCATCTTTGTTGCTGAAGAAGACTGGAGTGTACAATGGCCGAAACGTTGTGATAAATATGGCAATAAAGATGAGGACAATAGCCCACAGAATGTAAATAGTTTACAAGATCAAAAATTCTTTACGTTTCAATAAGGTGAGGATGAAATAGATTTTCTACACAAGAATCAATATTGATAACATCATATATTTATTGCTTCTTTTATTCTTTTTAAAATAAAATAAAAATACACATTTATACATTATGTCCTTTCTCCCAAAATGGTTTCCAAACACCAATTTCTTTGCTATTTAAGAAACTAGTAGTCACTGAAAATTGTGTGTGTGTCTTCAATTTCATACATCATAAATGGACTTCTTTAGAGTTTTCTTCTAAGCAGGGAAAAATAGTAGTCAAATGGGACTGATAATGACATCCCAGAAATTTTTGGAAGGTAATGATTTTCTGATACAAGTTTACTATTTAACTCATACCTGGGAAGAGTAGAAGCAGATTCATCCTTTTCCCTAAGGGTATTTGCATTAACTGAATATAATGAACCCAACTGGAATTCAAACTGCTCTCCAATTACTCATTCCAAGCCTTTATCCATTACCCCACAAATCCAAGCTTACATCATCTGGTATTCCCAAATAGTCACCCATCTAGATACTGAACAGGTTCAATGTTGCCTAACTCTGGTGATCAGATGAGAACCAGTGTTTCAACATGATATGGTTTTAAGCCAGTTTAAAGTAATTCAAACTAAAGTATTGTACATGTACAGCAACAGCACAATTTATTGATAAGAAACAAGAAAAGTTTTGTTTGACAATAAAAGAAAAATTCCTAAGGATTCAATTTAAAGTTTTAATTCTTATCTATTTTAAAGATTATTAATTAACAGCAGAGCATTAAGTTTTAGGATTCACTTCAAATTCAAGATGTTCTATTTACAAAAGACTGAAGAAGATACAATGGGAGTTTAATTAAAAAAAGGTAAATATTCTTACTTACATTCTGACAAAGATAATTATTTCTTTCTCCCGCCACCATATTATATTGAACCATGCATATGATTATTAGTTTGTGAATACTTTACAATAACTTGATTGGATTTAGGTTATTGTAAATAGTAATTGCATCAAGCCAAAAAGGTTGCAGGCATGAATTTGAATCTTAACAATGACTCACTCAGTGCATAAGCAAAGGGCGTAATGAATGGATAAAATTTATTTTGTTACATTTTTTTATAGAAAACAGTTATGCTTATTTAAAAAAAAAAAAAAAAGGTACAAATTTAAAATCTTTACTAATTAACAGTAAATAATCCGTTAGCATAAAATATATTTAAAAGAACAGCTTTAAAAGACTAAATTTATTTTTTAGGGAAATAGATTAAGAAAAAAAAAAATTACAACTATTAACATCTTTATCATTGTTCTTTTGAAGTGATGAGTCCCCAGCCAATCAATTACTTTTTTCTGTTATTACCCAAACATGATTAGAGAATCAGGAAAAAAAAACCCCAAAAAACAAACAAAAAAAACACAAAAATGAAGACTATTCCTATATTTAATTCTTTTACAATAAATCATAAGTTAAACACCTACAATTTAAATAAAGTTATTTTACTTTATATCATTTCAAATCACTTTTCTAAGGAAAATTTGGTAGATAAAAAAAAGTGAGAGGGATTTTGCTTGTAGTTTAGGAAGAACAAAAGCAAAGAAAATCAGAATTCAACATTTGCAAGACAAAGAGGAAGAAAACAAAGCTTCTACAAATTCTAACAGCTAGAATCTTTGTGAACAGATTCTCTTATAATATTTAACAATTTCAAGTTAATAATTATGTTATTACTTTTACAAAATATTTTACTCCTTTTAAAGGCAAAAGAAAAATTTTAGGCCAATAATAGTGTATAAGATTTAATATAGAGAAGTTTAAAAAGTAAAAAATATATTGAATCATCTAAAACATTGTCATAGCTATAGTCCTAAATTTTTTAAGATTCTCCATACATAAAATATTTAAGGTGAAATACCTATGAAGAATCATCCAAGTTTCAGTCACTTTGCCATAATATCACTTCCCTCTTTGGTATCTCGATTTCATGAATTTAAATGCCATACTAGATTGGCAGCTAGGTCTCATAATTTCACTGTTAAAATTGCTAGTTGTAAGCATCAGTTCTGTGCTAACAGTTTCTTATCTTACTTGTAGAACTCTCTTCCAACTTCCTGTTTTTCTGTTAACTATGATCTTCAAAAAGAAATTAAATACAATGTCAACTATCTTCTTCTGTCTCCTTAAGTCCTGTCCCTTTATTATCCCGTGTTTCTTTCACTCTCAGTAACCCCTTGCATATTAGTGGCTTTTGTTGCCTTGCTTTCGGAAAAATGATTAAGAAAAAAAATTATAATATAGAATGACATAGTAATTTAGTAATTGTTTGGTCCACTATTTTTGATGCTTGAACCAGCATTTTTTTTTTTTTCCATGTCACATTGTTCAGAGACACAACTGTCCCCCAGACAATACACAGATACAAAATGAGCAAATGTTATCAAAGGCTCTCGGAACACAGAATTAAAAAAAAAAAAAAAAAAAAAAAAAATTTAACATTATTTTATCACAAATTGGTAAATCATGTTAACATTTCTATTGTCAGGCATTGTTAATTAATATCTTGAGAGATTTTCATTTATCATTGAAACCTTCAGAAATCAATGTCTGTTGCTCTTGCTATTTTTCTTCTGAGCACAATCAAGATGCCTCCCCCTTTGTTACATATAGAAAGTGCTAGTTATAATTGTTAAAATATATAGTAAACCAGGACTTAACAAATGACAAAATCATTTCAATATATAACAGCAGTATAATATTAGGATATCTGTGTAATGTAATGGTTATTGGCACTGAAAGTGGAATTGGCATGTACAGTTCAAATTCCAGCCAAATTTGTATTCACTTTTGCACAAATGCTCTTTGGGAGAAAGCATTAATTAATATCTTCTTCCTAAGCCCATAATTATGGGTTAAATAGCAGGGTAGACTGGGCTCTCTAGCCTTGGGTAGCAACCTGCCTAAGAGAAGGAAAAGTAACAGAGAAACCACCCAGTTATCTTACCCAAGAATGTATGGCAATTCAAAAAAAAAAAAAAAAAAAATTTTTGGAGAGTTATGATTATTGGGTATATCCTGGAGGGAAATGGTCTTACAAAAAAAAAAAAAAAAAAAACTAAAAAGAACAACAAAATTAAAACAAAAGTAATCACAGAGCCAGAACTCTAGATAAGAAGATCAGAATAGTTTTTTTTATGTCTCAAATGAGGATTAAATATCAGAATACACACAACCAATATATACAATTTTTTTGGTGTGTATAAGACGACATCCTGTTTCTGAAGCTAAAAACATACTTGAGTATAATATGATCAGTAGTACAGCCATTCCTGAGTAAATTTTTCTGAAAAGCTGTACCATATTATCCATTAAAATCTCAATCTTGTACATATTTCACTAAAATATTTAAATTTCTCATGATATTAAAGAATAAGATGTTATTTGATCATTGAGTGTTTCTTCTAATTTCTATTTCAAAACTTATTTTCAGGAAAAGATGCTAACTAGACATACAGGGCATACATTTTAAAGTGTTAATATACCATACTTTTCTGTTTGATATTACTTTATGTTTCTATATGTTAATAAACTAGGAAAAAAATATTGTCTTTCATTAAGAATGAAGAGATAAACAAACATTGCCAACATCAAATACATTTTGTAAACAATTTTTATTAACACCTGCCTACTTTTCATTTTATAACCTATTTTCTTTAAAAATTCAATTTACCCCAAGGTGATAATGCCACTGATACACATGGGGTTTAGTAGGGGAGTGAAAGAGAAGACTTTAGAAGGAACTGGAAACTCAATCTTAAACAGGAAAAAAAAAGGAATAAACCTCTACTCCTGTTCAGAAAGACCAGAGAGTGCTAAGTGTACTTGCAATTTTGCAGTTTCAAGATTTTTAAGCTGAGTAAAAATTTCTGAAAAATGTGTACTTGTGTACAATACAACCCTTCATTTTTGTCTTTATTTTTCTTTCATAATGCACAAGAAAATCTAGTAGGAATGTAAAATGGCAGCCAGATTTTGAAGAATATTCATAGAACTTAAAATATATTCAACAATTATTTTGGAGTTATTAAATAATTGCTCATCATATTTCCTAATTAGATTAAAGAATTTACTTATTATGGTTCCATGTTTAACAAACAGAATTTTCAGGTACATGATCCTATTTTGACATAATAGCATTTGTATTATTCAATGTTGAATTTTTTTTTATGTTCAACACAGATGCCTGAAGAGCAGAGCAGTCAAAGGTAGATGACAAAACCAACTAAGATATCAACCAAAGAAATGGCTAACACAAAAACAAAATCAATTGCGAAGAGTTAGCAAAAAATATATATATATATATATAAAAAGCTTAAAATATAAAGTTTGAGGTAAAACTTACTTCTGACATGGTCAGCTTGTTCCTGTATTAAGTGACTTTGTTCTTGTTCTTCAAGCATGCGGTCTGCTAGGCACAACACACACGCATACAGGTAGGTAGGTAGGTGAGCAAGCAAGGAATTAAGGTATAAACAAACATGCAGCTAGTGACTGGTTTGAAGTAATTAGGTAGGTGTATATAAGTAGTAAAGATAAGGGTCAGTCAAAAAGTGAAGCCTGTTCAAATTTAAAAGTATAAGAATTTCTAGTTTTTTTTAGTTTTTTTTTTTTTTTTTTTTTAAATGTAACCCACATATTGGCAAAAAGCTGGGGTAGGGGTTTGTGGAGTAACCTTCTCTTCGACCCATAATCCTCTTTCAAAATGGCTACCCATCTGGACACAAGAAAGCAAAGAGCTGATACAGGATTTCTGTTTTTGGAAAGAGAGAATGCTGCAAACATTCACAGAGATTAATAAATGTTAACTTAATATAAGTATTTCCTTTTAGGACCAAAAGAGAAGACATTCTGCTAGAATTTATGCCCAATATTTCCAGCATCAATTCTGACTTCTATGTAAGCACATTATCAAATCTCAGAGCAAGGCAGCAGGATGATGCAAGGCCTCAGAGCAGCTTAAAGACCACACAAGCAATCAGAGGACATGGTTGGATAAGTTTATTTCATCCATTCTCATATCCTTACCCTGTACACTCAGACTTTCATTTATGTGGGTCCATAACAGAGACACTTAGATAACAATAGTTCTCTAAGGATTGTCAACTGAAAGAGGCAAACTAGCATATGGCTACAACAACAGCAAACAAGTTTCTGGGATGAGTAGACATGTCCCCCAACTCAGATGGAATATCATGATTGAGAAGGAAGGAAACTATATTGAGGAGAAAATTTGGAATACTGAAACTTTTTTTTTTATCATATTTGTATGTTTTGTGTGGTTCTACAATTAAATCTGTTGTAATTAAAGAAGAACAAGCATAAATTTTTGACAGACCTTAGGTGGGAAAACCAAACAGTTAATTACCAAATTGGAAGTTGCACCAACATTAAGCAATAAGCGGAATGAACAAATAAGCTTTCCAACAGAAAAAAACTGATATTATATATATATATATATATATATATATATATAAATGCAGTTTTACATTAGAACATGCACATAACCACTACAAAACTGTACATCGTTTCAACGTTAAAAAATTAACGTTTCATCAGTGGTAAATCACGATACTAGTAGCATCGTGATTTCCCATTGATGAAACCAGGTGATAAGTATTCATTATATATATATATATATATATATATATATATATATATACACACACACACACACACACTTATCACCTGGTTAACTCTTCATCCCTAGCTATTGAACAGAAGTAGAGTTTTTTTTTCACTTGTTTCCTGTTCAGAATTAGGTTTCTAGTTTCTTCTAAAGTTTTCTAATTCTCTTTTACTCCCAGTACCCCTTGCAGCTTAGTGGCATGACATTATTGCCTTGCTTGGGAATGAAATGATTAATATATAATTGTGTATTTGGGCAGCAGTCCCTTTTATACAAATTCCGTTAAAAATGACTGACAAGTACTGCAGTTATTTTTTTTTTTTTTTTTTTAATTTTTGTGTTATCATAATTTATGTCCAGAAAATAAAATTATGTAGAAACTGTCCGAATGTTCTGTATGTCTAAGAGTAAAAATAAAACCATCCTTGATAATGGCTAAAAGTATAGCCAAAAGCACTCAGACATACAGAACATTGACAATTTTATACATAATTATGTCCGGAAGAGAACGTGTGTGTGTGTGTGTGTGTATATTAAAAAAAATGAACTGAGTATCTACATTATTTTAAACTTTAACTGGTTTTCATAGAAGCAGCTTAAAATTTTACTGAAAAACTTCTGGAGAGTTTTAAAATGGAAAGTGTTTGACCAAAAAGGAAAAGTGATTTAAAAACTCACTAAGTCGATTATATATTTAGAATATAAACATTGTATAGAAAAATTATTTTAACAGTGATGCAGAAAATTAAAAATTAGAGCCCAAGAAAACTATGCTTTATAATATCAATATTGAAAATAATTTCAACAATTCTTGAAAGTAATTATAAAGTGAAAATAAACTTGAAAGTTAATGAACACGTCATCCTGTTGCGCATGACAAAAATAGACAACATCCATTTTAATAACTTGATTATATAATGACTGGCATTTTAAAGAAGCCATGAGAATAATTGTCAGGTTTTTATAGTGGATGGATTCATTTTTGCTTTTTTTATGGCTTATCAACCTTTTGAAGGTTATTTAAATCCACGAAATATATTTTTAGATAACTTTTTGGACATGATAATTTACAGATACAAATGTTACTAATTAACCCATAGCTGGGTGGAGAATAGGTGGAGTCATACCTTTCCCAAAAGGTATTTGTGCGTAAGTGAATATAACAAACCTGAGTGGAATTTGAACTTGGCTCGATGATTTCCAATTCCAGACCATTATCCATTACACCACCCACACATAGAAATTTACAGCACCTGGTATTCCCAAGCAGTAATAACTGTCAGGGATGGCATTGTGCGTAGTTAGAAGCAAGCCAGCAAGCATGATTAATAATTAAATATAAAATTGGTGCACAGAATAACTTAAGCTGTGAGATTGAATATAAAGATAATCCATAGAGAAAAGTGTGTGTGTTATATATATATATATATATAACACACACACACACACAAAAGGATCTGTCTGAAAAGTATCAAGCTGTTTTGCACAGCTTTAGTATCTGGGAGTGTGGGAGCAGGTGTGAACAAGCACTCTCGTGAGGTTACTCAGTCAGTAGGGATAGGCCATTGAACTTGTCTATTGCATGACTGTTGTATTCACAACAAATATACATTTTGCTTGAATCTTGTCATTCATCTGCATGAATAAGGCTTCCAGGGATGATTCAATGATTGAAATTTGGATAAAATTTTTGCCAGGAATCTGTTGAATGCAATCCACATCCTGGAAGACCTCTAACCAGCAGAAGACATGAAAATGCTAAAACATGTGCAGGCTGCAATCAAAGGAAATTGGCAGATGACAGAATGAGAAAAAAGATCTCTGGATTTCCTGGAGTTTCTAAAAATTATCCAGCCATTTTTTTTTTATATCCAGACCATCTATCTCATGTGGGGTTATTTTGGGCAAAACATCACATCATCTAGGCCTGTCAGTCGACAGAAGAAAGTTGGTTTCTGTGATTTCTGGCTTTTCCCAAAGACAAAATTGTCATTAAAAATGAGGAGAATGTTGATCCTGAATGAAGATTCTGCAAACCGTTTTCAAAAGTGAAAGGGGCACTGGGACATGCAACCACAATGAATAACGAAGGGGACATGTGCCACTGACCTAAGTAGAATATGTTTTTGTTAATTTTAAGTTACTGGATTATTTTTTTGTTTTAAACTAATTTTTCAACCAATACAAGGCTCCATATCAACTCAAGGTAGAGGGTTACTGAATGATGTAAGAGCATAAGAAGAGGTAAGAAATGAAGTTTATAAGGATATACAGGAAAAATAATAGTTAAACCTAGACTTGAAGGGGTTCAGATTGTAATGATTTGAGCGGGGAGTATCCTATCTGTTTCACAAAATAGCAGTTCTTGGGAAGAAGCTTTTCAAATGAAACTTCCTTCTTACTAATGGAATATGAAGAGAGTAGGGATGGTTCAGTATACGTGGTATGGCAGGTCTTAGCTGTGAAGGTCTGAACGTAGGACCTCTGAACATTTACCATGGGAATAGCAACAGAGTAGTGAGAGGCTTGTGATATTTCATCTATGGTAAAGGGGTTGTAGAGTGGAAAATAATTCATCACCCACATGCCTGTGTATCAAGCCAGGCAAATGAAGACTGAGCAGCTCCAGCACAATTATGGCAGCACAGTATTTCCAAACAGTTTGTTTAGATGTATGCAGGAACATTCTATGTGTGCGTGTCAATATTATAGGTACTATTTGATATCATCCACAAGTACTATTGATTGGTGTTAAAAACTGAAATACTAAGCTTGAAAGCTCATTTGTAAGGGCAGACAGGCAGCAAATTATTGCCACTTGAAAAATTGGTGCAACACAATCTTCCTATTCAACTCATTCATTTCATAAAATTTCTATATATCAAAAGTTATATGCCTTGATAAATGTAAATGAAACAAAATATTTGCCTAAAATCAATGTAATTTTTTGAAAAAAAAAAAAAAAAAAGTTTTGTTTACAGAGGTTATGCTAAATACAAAATATTACAAAATGCTTGATTCAAAATTAAATATATATATATATATATATATATATATATATATATATATATATATATATATTTTAACATCATCTGTGGAAAATACATTAAAAATGTTGACAACAGACTATTTTATTTTAATCAATGCAAATTATACTAAAGATATATATTAGGTACCCCCCCCCATCAAAAAAAGTTTCATATAAAATTACATTTTCACATTTAGCAAGGAAAAGCTGTTTCTAAAGATTCAACCCTAAAGTATAGACTAAAACAAGCAGAAAGTTACCATTTAAAAGTTTGAAATTGAATTCTTTCATTTTATGTCATCATTAATCTGCAGTTTTGAATTTTAGAACATTTTTGTGTAAACATAACAAAAGTGAAAATTCTAATAGAGAGAGAAACAGACAAGTTGACAGGATAGTCTATTATACTAGTATGATGCATCCTCATACAAAGTAAATAAAAACAGAAGTCATAGTTAGACGCAAGAGTCAGAGAACAAGAAAAATTCCTTCAGTTAACAGGAATTCCAACGTTCACTCTGAGAAGAAATTCAGGAAAAGGATTTGTTCTTATATATATATATATATATATATATAAAATAAAGTGATAATGTTGGCATTTGAAAAGCAATCCAAGTTAAACACAAAGACTAATATTTTAATGAAACATTTACATGGGGTATGGAACTTATTTGAAATATGCTTATAAGTTGGTGCAACTGTAATAAACAGAATTTAAGTACCATAAAAAGTAATGAACAAAGCATAACTTTTCTGATTAGCAATTGCTTCAATGAATTTATAGTTAATTGTCTTCCTCAGATTTTGTCTATGTAAGAAAGTTCTACAAGTTCAAATTCATAGATCTTTAAGAATTTTGGAAAGTTAAAAAATTTTAGACATCATATTTCCTTGGTTTCATAACATTTTTATGACACAAATGAATATATACATATTTTATTTTTAACTTCTATCAAGTAATATGTACATTGTAGACCAAGATATCTACTTCAGACCTGACAATATTTTTGAATCTGATTAGTGACTATTAATGTTTGAGGAAAGTTATATATCTTAAAGATCCTGGCCAAAATTACATTTATTATACATACTTATCTTGGGATTGAGCTGTAAGCAGAAATTAAATCTGCTGGTTTTCCAAAATAGAAAACAATTTTAAACTCTATACTGATGTAATGCACTTACCAAAATTACAGTAAATTAATGCATGGCTAATGAGAGGATATTTTCTTCCAAACACAGTGATTTTTCAACTTGTCATTTAAAACCTTTTCTCATTTCAGAGATTTCCTTCAAGTTTAAAAACTGAAAGAACACAATTTACACTCAATAGCAAAAGTAACTGACCTCATTTGATCAATTTATCACTATTGCAATTTACATTAGCATGTTATCCATTTTCTTTCTGGAAGTTACTTTAATATTAAAGACCATTAGATGCAATATGTACTCAAAGAAAGCCGAGGGATATGTCATGGTCATCAAGACGATGAAGGTAATAGATTAAAAATAAATCGAATAGTGAGAATATATCATCTCAGAAAACAATTGTGCCTGGTTCATTAGAACAGATTTAAGAAAATAAAAATAACATTAGGCATGCACAAACCAATTTAAAAAAAAAAAAAAAAAAAAAAAAAAAGGGTAAGTAAACAATACAGTGCAGTGATCTTAACCAGGAAAGATAAGCCTGTCTCTGCAAGGGGCCAAGGCCCCCCAAAATCAGTCGATAAAATTCAGAAGAAAACTTGATTATACACACACACAGAGACAGAGAGAGTCCGCCAACAAAATGTATACACACTTCAGAAAAGGAAGAACTCGTCTTTTGTAGTTTTATCAAATTGTGATAACACTGTTCACTGTAGTATTTTCTTGACAAATGGTATTACCCTCATGGCTGTAGCATCAACAAGTGATGTATATTGAAAATGAATGTACAATAATGCCACTGGAATCTAAAGGCCACCATTTTGAGCATGTGATTGTAGAGTCCAAAGGGAACTTGTATTAATTTTGTGATGTCTGAATAAATTTAGTATTATAATATCTATAAAAGTTTTTCCTTTCCTGAAGTGTGTATACATTTTTTTGGCAAACCGTGTGTGTGTGTGTGTGTGTGTGTGTGTATATATATATATATATATATATAACCTTATACTTACCAATCTTATTAATTTTAATTTCTATGAACGAGCAAAGTGTTAAGGCATGCAAAAATTAATGCTAAACTATAAATAATCAAGCACATTTACATTTCTAAAACTTAAAAAAAAATATTATGAAAACAAATTTATATCTATAAATGATAGAAAAGTATTTCTAAACAGTTCCTGGTGCTATTACACTATTAATAAATTGTTCATTATCAAAGAGAAATAGAGTAACACTCACCACGTAAATCCAAGATTTGTTGTTTTACATCCCTCGTTGTTGCTTCAGCTTTTCTTAATTGTTCTAGAATTAAAGAGAAATTATTTTCAACAAGTTCATTTAACAGAAAAGTAAAAATTAGCAGTTTTATTTCAATATTCACAACTATTAGCTCAAGTGAGAGAAAATTTCTTAGATGTCATCAAGTAATTCCTTTTCATAGCATTACTCAGGACAACAGACGTGACAGTACTTATGTCTTCCTATTTATCCAGAGTTAGAGAGAGATATGGATTTATACCTTTTCTAAAGGAAAATGAACACAAACTGTCCCAGCAGCTGGAGATTGAATTTAGTTTGTAGATTCCATTTTCTATGTTGTTAACCATCAAGCCACCCATGTCTCCAAAAATTATGTGGATGTCTTATATATATATAAAACTAGATAAGAGAGAATTACAATTAAGAAGATTACAATAAAGAATAAAAGAACACATTTAAATCAAGTTGGTGCTTATCTTCTGATGTAAAATGTATTCTCATTTGTAGACAAGTGCTTTATCTTCTCTTTCTAAGGATCTTGAATAACTCTTCACTACAAGAATCTATTGTAACATGGCATTTGAATTCCGGTAGAGTTAAATCAATGTCAAAGCTGATAATGGGAATAGCAGCCTTGAAACATGTAGCAACATTCACTAAAAGATATGTCACAGAGTTTTTGTCTACAATTACATCATACTGATCATATTGTAGAGTAATTTTCTCATAAATTTAATCTACAGATTATTGTCTGCCAAGAATATTAAACAAATTGATACTTGCATAATTATCATTAACAGAAAAATAACTTTTGACTCCTGAATTACAGTTCTTTACTAATTGTGCATTACTTTTCATGAGTATGTTGTGTCCATAAAGAAATACATAAATAAAAAAATTATACTGTCACCATGTCACATCTATAAAAAAAAAAATAAATACATTAAAGATTAATTAGTGTCAAAACTATTTATAATAAAATAATTATAATTATTATAATTATCATTAATTCATTTTCTAAACCAATGAGAATTGACCCCACTTTTTTCCTCTACACACAAACACATGACACTCTCACCATCAGGCAAGCAGTCAACTCAGACAGGCTGTCAACATATGCAGCAATGAAAATTTTGGGTTTTTTCCTTTTTCAGGCTATAATAACAATATATCTCTTTTAACACTCAATAAAAATTTGAGCTAAGAAAACCCCAGGCACTTCATGTATTTTTCCAACTAAATTATCTGGCCACTCATTACACACATCTATAAAAATAAAACACACATGAAAAAGACTGTATACACTTTACTTATTATTTATCTTATTCTGTCAGATTCTGATCCATATTTGATCTACATTTGACTCCAAACTCACAATTTTACTCAGTATTACTGTCTCATTTCTCCAACACCACATAACAACCAGATAATCAATAATACAGGTTTTGTTGTTTCCACATCTTGCAGTTTCTCAACTTTAACAAGTATCTTTGTATATATAAATGTTAGGGGATTTATAATTATTTACTCAATTATAACTCCCCTACAAGTAGATAAGAGTTTAACAATAAAAACAACCAGAATATGAATGAACTGCAAGATGCTACAAAGCCAAAACTTTCTTGTGAAAGTCCTTTCTGGCTCCATGTTTTCCAGCCAACTTTAATCTGCAATCTTCAGGAGAATTCATAAGGGCATCAGGTCCCATGGACTGATTAAACAGATTTTAAAGGGCCCTTACAATCTAATACTCATAAGTATTTGTTAATGGCAATAGATGAATATTCCCATTTCATGTCCAGATGTAAGTTCAATGACAAATTTTCAGTCTTTACATGTTCGCATCTTATGTTCCTACTGATAGAGTTGCATCCTTTATTAGCAAAGAATTAAAGTCCTGCCTAACTCAGAAAGGTATAGCCACAAGCACATCTACTCAATGCCACCCAACAGGCAATTTACAAGTTCAATGGTACAATGAACTTATTTGGAGAAAAATTCACCTGGTGTTAGAGAACATGCAATATGGACATAAAACTTTGGGAAATAATTCTATCAAAAGCTCTCCATTCTTTTCATTCCCTACTTTCAACATCTACCAATGCCACTCCACATGAAAAGTTCTTCAATTTCCCCTCAGCGCTCTTCAGCTGGCTCATCATCATTGTGGTTTGTCCCCAGACTTTTACTTCTGAGGAACTTTGCCCGGTCAAGTAAAAATTATAATTTTGCCAATAGGTTGGAATTCTATAGACACAATTATTAGGTACCCTGATGGATGAGAGTCCACAGTATCTCTTCAAGTCTTGCCACCTTATCAATCCATTGATTTGAATGGGAAAATAAGTACCTCAAATATCCAACATGCTCCCAAGGACCCAGGTGGTCCCGACATACTTCAACTGTGCCCGAGCATGATAATTTAGGGGTAGTCTTTATAATGATGTTATCCCAGAGCCTCTAATCAATTTCAGGCTAGTTATAAAGGTTGTAATGTTCTATGGAGGTCTTCAAGAACACAAAAGGCACCAATAAAGAATGAAGACTTATGTGAGTAAAACATTCTTCTTCCAGGGGGGTAGAGTATTACAAAATAAATTCTTCTTTGGTATTTTGTATGTAAATTTCTTGTATACAAATGAACATACATTTTTATAAATTCTGCTGTATTTTGGGGAGAGGATTTATGTAGAGAGACACTGATAGTGTTATTTGGCTCAGTTGCTTTTGTTGAATAAAGCATTTAATGTCATCGTTTCATTTTCCTGCCATTTTGAATTGTTTTTAAATTCATAACACCCTCATCAATACTAAAAAGAGCAACAACAGTGGATTTGAGAAATCTAATTCCCTGAAAGACATTTGAGAGAAAGATTTTATAAATTTCAGCCAACAGTAATTCTATCTGTTCGGTCAATGAATGCTGTATAAGAGAATGGTTAATCTCACCATTAGTCACTTAACAGTTATTTTTAAATGGAATGATTAATGTTGTGTATGATACACCTAATTTACATAAGTGGAGTACCGACCATATAAATATGGGTTGGTACCGGAAGACAACGGAAGATTAAGAGATCGAATGCAGAGACTCTGCCCGACTGCGACTTAGTCAACCCATTCTGCAGGAACAGTCTTCCCAAGAATATACCAAAACTACCTGTAAATATTGTGTACCTATTTTCATTGTTTCAATACATTTTGTTACGTACATTTTGTGTTGTATTATTATTATTCCATGCTTATTCAAGCTTCAACAATGGCGACGAGGTATAAAGAACTTTACGTTTGAAAAAAAAGAATTAATAATTGATAGCCTTCAATAATTGGGACAAGTGGAAGAACCCAGGCTGGAAAAAAAAAAAATCATTAATTAAAAGTCAAACATCTAATGGAACGGAAAAGTATTCTGAAGTTTGGACAGTTAAAACTAGTTAAAGGACGACTAAGCTTAAAGGAACGCTCACTCAGAAAAATCTGAAGGTGGCGTAAACAAATAACGGCGAAAAAAAAAAAAAAATGCTGGCCGACTAAAAAAGAAAAAAAAAAAAAATATGCTGGCCGACTAAAAAAAAAAAAAAAAAGCTGGCCGACTAAAAAAAACATGCATGGAATTAAAAGGAGCACAAATACCACGTGTCGACTTTTGAAAGGTAAGCGAATTTGTAAAAAAAAAAAATTTGTTTATTTTTTTTTTTGTTTGGTTGCTCAACAATATTTTATAAAGCAAGACATAAAATTAAAAAAGGCGTAAGTTGTTTCAATTTTTTTTGTCTGCTTATAGTATATTCGTGGATAAACAATTTAAAAGTATATTCTTTGTTGCATGAACACAATCAGCTAAAAATGGAGGAATTATCCAAAGTCATAGCTGAATTGTTTAAAGCTCAGCAGTTGAGTCAAGCTGAATTATTCAAATCCCAGCAGTTGAGTCTGCAACAACAAAGTGAACAGGTTGCCTTATTAAGAGAACAACAATTAGCACAGCAGAATTATCAAGAAAGGCAAGAGGAGTTGAGTCAGCAACGTCAAAGGAACAGGAAGAAATGTATGTCAAGGTTTTGGAAATTCAAAAGTTAACATTGGAGAAATTAAACAACAATCAGGCAAATGAAAGTAACTCTTCATATTCTAATAACATCATATTTAATTCGTTGGAAACTTTCAACTATGTGCCAGATGAAGGAAAAACGTTTGAAGCGTATTTTTAAACGATATGAAGATATTTTCCACACAGACTGTGAAAACTGGTCGAATTCAAGAAAAGTCAGTCTATTACTAAGAAAGCTAGGTACAGCAGAACATAGCAAATTTGTAGATTTTATTCTACCGAGAAGAACAAATGAATTGGAATTCTCGGAAACAGTGAAATTGCTAAAGGAGTTGTTTGGAGCAAATATGTCGCTTTGGCATAAGCGATGGTTATGCATGAATGTCGCTAAATCCGACGATCAGGATTACTTAACTTATGCATCTATAGTGAATAGACATTGTGACAATTTCAGATTGGCAGAGATTACGGTTGAAGAATTCAAGTGTTTAATTTTTGCTCAAGGTCTGGTATCCAGTAAAAGTGCTGAAATAAGACGTAGAGTTTTGTCTAAACTCGAATCTGAACAAAACCTTACCCTGCAAAAAGTTAGCAGAGGAGTGTCAGCGGGCCGTAAGTTTAAAGAAAGAGTCTCAAAAAATTGAAGAAGCTGGTATTGCTTATATTAAAAAAGTGAAGAAACAGTCAAATTACCCATCAGAAAAAATTGATTAAAAATTCAAATCGTATTTTTTAAAAAATAGAAAAAAAAAATTAAATGAAAAGAATGAGGAAGAAAAAAAAAATGGTTCCGCCATTTAATTGTAGACGGTGCAACGAAAGACATTGGGAGGTAAATTGCCCATATAGAAATAAAAATGTTTAAAATTGCCACAAGAATGGTCACAAAGGGTCATGTTGTAAAACGAAAAAAAAGTCAATAGCAATTAGACAAACAAATTCAAATATCAAATCAGATAGAGATTTGAGGAAGTATGTGACGACTGAAATATTTAAAAGAATATCAAATTTCAACTCGATTCGGGTTCAGATTTAACAATAATGAACTATAAAACATGGAAAATTTTAAAAGGCCTACAATAATGAAGTCAACTAAACGCTTTCGAACAGTGACTGGAAAGGAAATTAAATTGAAGGCGGGTTGTACTTCCCATGAAATTGAACGGGATAGTTAAAAAAAAAAAAGTTTTCATTCTGAAAATGGAGAAAACTTGATGGGTACAGATTTTATTGAAACATTCGAATTGTGGGATAAACCGTTAAACTCTTTCTGCAGAAAAGTAGAAAGTAATCGCAAACAAGACAGGACATTATTGAGGAATTAAAAAAAAGTTTTCGAAAACTTTCACACCTGGTCTTGGAAGATGTAACAAGTTTGAAGCCAAATTCGAATTAAAGGAAAATACTATGCCAATTTTAAAAAAGAAACGTAATGTGCCTTTCGCAAGTGTAGAGAAAATTAACGAAGAACTTGATAGGTTGGAAAAAATGGGAATTATTTCAAAAGTAGAATCTAATTCATGGGCTGCGCCGATTGTGTGCATAAAAAGAAATCAAACCAAGTCAGAGTCTCGTTGATTTTTTCGACAGGGTTGAACTTCGGTAATTAAGGACTACCATTACCGAGTCCGGAGGATTTTAACAAGCTAAATGGTGGAGTTATATTTTCAAAAATTGACTTATCAGATGCCTATCTCCAAATTCCCGTCAAGAGGAATGTTCGGGTTACTAGGGATAAACACGCATAGAGGGTTATTCAAGTACAACAGGCTTCCTTTTGGTATTAAAGTGGCACCTGCCATTTTTCAACAAGCTATGGACGTCATGCTGAATGATTTAGACTTTAAATGTGCGCTTACTTAGACGACATCATAGTAAGGGGAGCGAATCGGTCGATTTAACATCGAGAGCATCTCAATCAAGTATTTAAAAAAATTCAGGACTTTGGATTTAAAGTCAAAGAGTCAAAGTGCGAATTTGGTTTGGAGGAAATTAAGTATTTAGGGCACATAATCAACAAAAATGGCAGATGTCCAGATCCGGAAAGGTCCATTGCGATTAGAGACATGCCGACGCCCACTAATGTGGCGATGCTACAAAGTTTTCTAGGGCTTGCAAATTATTATCAAGCGTTCATTAAAGGAATGTACAATTTAAGAGCTCCGTTGAATGAACTGCTAAAAAAAGACAAGGCATGGGAATGGACGGTAGAATGTCAGAAAGCCTTTGATGAAATAAAGAAAATGCTTACGTCCGACCTCTTTTTAACCCATTACAATCCAAAACTGGATATTGTAGTGGCAAGTGACGCTAGTTCATACGGGATAGGAGCGCATATTCAACACATAATGCCAGATGGTTCTAGAAAACCAATTGCACACGCAGCGAGAACTTTTGCTCCCAGGAGAAAGAAGTTACTCTCAGATAGAAAAAGAGGCACTGAGTATCATTTTGCCATACAAAAAATTTCACAGGTCCATCCACGGCAGACATTTTATCCTTGAAACGGATCATAAACCACTGATCACCATTTTGGTTCAAAGAAAGGGTTACCCGCTTATACAGCAAATTGTCTGTTAAGATGGGGAACCATTCTTCTCAATTATGATTTTCACATAAAGCACCTATCATCCAAAAAGATAATTCATGCGGATAGTCTATCAAGACTAGTACCGAGGCAAGAAGAAAGATTCAAGAATCAATTATTGCAAATATCAGAGCAGATTATGAGGTGAAAAGCATGGTAAACAACATTGTAAGAGAGCTACCGTTACGCTAAATGAAATTAAAAAAGAAGCTGAAAGCGATGATTTCATTTTAGAAATTAAAAACAAAATGGTAGCGAATGACCAAAAAGTGCAGGAGATTTATTCAATAGGTGACGGAGTTTTATTATATGGTGAGAGAGTAGTAATACCAAAAAAGTTGCAGAAAAGAATACTTGGGACTTTCATATGGGTCACCCGGGTATTAATAGAACAAAAAGCTTAATGCTAAGCTTTAGTATTGAAAGGAATGGATGTGGATATCGAAAACATGGTTCATCGATGTAAGGGGTGTGCGTTAGCAGCTAAGGCACCACCTATAGTATACAAACCATGGCCCAAGACGGATCATCCGTGGACAAGATTACACATTGATTTCGCTGGTCCAGTAGAAGATTTTTACTACTTAATAGTGGTAGATAGTTTTACAAAATGGCCGGAAGTACTACGCTGTAAAAAAGCCTACGTCCAATACCACAACAACTTTTTTTTGCATGAACTATTTGCATTTGTTCGGTGTGCCAGAGTGTATTGTGAGTGACAATGGTACACAATTCACTTCTGAAGAATTTAAGGAATTTTGTGAGTTATATCAAATTAACCACATAACGACGCCCCGATCATCCGAGGTCTAATGGACTCCAGAAAGATTTGTCGACACTTTAAAGCGTGCTCTGAAGAAAGCCTCAGGAGTTCCAACGAAAAGGCGCTTCAGCAATTCTTACAAGTATACAGAATCACGCCAAACCAGAGAACACATTCAAACATGGCACCAGCTGAACTAATGTTCGCTAGGAAAGTTAAGTCAGTGTTTGACAAGCTTTTGCCAGGAAAAAATACAGTAAAAAATACCATGTATACAGCGAAAAAAGATACACTCCCGGAGAAGGTGTTTTTCAAGTGCTATAAAAACAACGTTGAGTTCTGGGAACGAGGCATAGTGGACAAGAGAATCGGTGACCTGATTTACATAATTAAAGGGCGAAGAATACTTATAAAAGGCACCAAAACCAACTTAAAAAAGATTACGGTATAGAGCAAGAAGAGTGTATACGGATGAGGACGAAGATCCCATTGATATAATGTATGATATGTTTCAGGTAGAACCTCCACAGAATACACCTGAACCAAGAAGATCCGGTAGGAAACGGAAGTTGACGGACCCATTGAACGTGAACCCAAAACGGAAAAAATATTAAAATTAGGCAAATGGATCTACAAAGAAATAGCCATAATCATCAACCCATATAGGAAGCCAATTTGAAATCCAAAAGGGATTCCAAGGCTTGGGAGGAGGGTGTTGTGTATGTTACACCTAATTTACATAAGTGGAGTACCGACCATATAAATATGGGTTGGTACCGGAAGACGACGGAAGATTAAGAGATCGAATGCAGAGACTCTGCCCGACTGCGACTTAGTCAACCCATTCTGCAGGAACAGTCTTCCCAAGAATATACCAAAACTACCTGTAAATATTGTGTACCTATTTTCATTGTTTCAATACATTTTGTTACGTACATTTTGTGTTGTATTATTATTATTCCATGCTTATTCAAGCTTCAACAATTAATTAAAAATTGCAGGAATTTGAAATGGATTTTTGTACCGACTAAAGTTTTGTTAAAGGTGAGTAATATGGACTGCCACAATTCACATGGAAATAAGGAAGAATTTCTAATAAAAAAAAAAAAAAAACTTTTTAGGAATTTTAAAGAGAAAAAATTCAATATCAAACCTTTTAGCTTTTCTACATCAATGAGTTGAGGTTTCTCAGAATCAACATGATTAGCCATTTGATTGGTGGGCGAATGGGTTAAAGTGTCATTGTCGAATTTCTCTCCTTGCTGGTCAACCTTTTCTGGACGTTGTAATGTCCACTCAGATTCCAACTCTTCAATTTCTGCTACAAAGTGAAAAGGTAAAAAATAGCAAATTAGTTTTCATAGAAAAAATACAAAAACTGAGATTTTATATAATACACACAATATGTATATTATTTAAAAATCAATATATTGAAGATGAAAGTTCCTTAAATTAAGTAGTGTATTGTGTAAGATTCACACTAAAACAAAGTTTGAATCAATTAAGTTTCGTTTATTTTAAAAGGAAAAAAAAAATCTTGAAGTAGTGTATTTAAGATACTCACCTACTAAATGTGTATTTAAGTTACTACTGCAATCTGTCTGTCTTTGTGACTCTTTCAGTTGAACTTTAAGAAAAAGGAATAAAATTATATTAAATTAGCATAGAATGAGAAAAGTCAACATTACATACTGAAAGCTGAAAAGATTTAAAATCAGAAACTAAATTTATTATTATACAAAAGCCACCAGGTGTTGGCAACAGGAAATGTTACTAAAAAATAAACTATATTTATATCAAAGAATACATAATGCAGGTATGATGAGCTTAAACTTCAAAAGAAAAAATAGGCAAGTAAAATTTTCATTAAATACCATAATTCCCATGTATAATCTTTTATTATAATAAAAAAAAAAAAAAAAAAAATTATTTCCTAGGTCAATTTCAGTTGCAAAATGACCACACACCACAAGCAGATGACAATTTGATACTAACATTTGGTGAGTGCAACCACATAAGGAGATTGCATACAATACGTACCCAATATTTACAAATGTAAAATAAGAATTATCATTAAAAAAAAGTTAGAATAATATTCTATGTTTAAAAACATTTTTTTTTTTTTTTTTTTTAAGGAGTAGGAAATGTTGGCCATAATGAAATTGGAGAGGTACAATTTATAGGGTTTGATTACCAAACAAGGTATGCATATTATGCGTGAGTAGAAGCATTTTCCCCACATTTATAGCACAATTTTAGGGATGTGTATTATGAATGAAGGCATATTTATATGGAGAATTACAGTATTTTAAAAAATTGATGATTCCCTTTAATATAGGGATTAAAACTATTAAAATATATAAAGGAGATAACTGTTTTAACTTCAGAATATTAAAACAATTGTAAAACTGGTTAAGAGCTTGCTCAGCAAATTGTTGATTCTCAGGTGATCAACAGTAAATAAGCTAAAATCTAATTTGGAGATAGTGAAATCACTAATAAAATATAAAATAACATACCATAAAAAAAAAACATACACAGAGACATGCTGTGAAGTTTTCTTTTACATACAAAATGTACCCTAATAAAAAAAATATGAACATGTTCAAAATACAATTTGTTTATATCCTTAAAATTTTTATCAGATGAGAACAGGAAGTTTCCTTCAACTGAACAAATTTTCACAAAATATAATCACCCCAATAAACAAGTTCTTTGCAAAACACATGAAACATCAGAACTGGAAAAAATTCAACAAATATGAAAGTTCAGTCTAAAAAGCTTTTTACAGCATTCTAAATTTTCTTACATTAAATTTTTTTTTAATTCCCCACATGACCACTATATTATAAATTGATGAATTGTAAAAGATCAATAAACTTCTACACCAGATTACATAATCTCATCGTAAAATTTATGAATGTTTTGAAAACAAAAATGAGAAGGTCATCAGAAGGAATAATTTAGCAAGTCATGCCAGCAGCCATTTTGTTTATACTTATAAACACATTAATGTATAAACAATAATTGAGAAATCAGGATTCAAACTGCATGAATTTAGGGAGATAACTAATTAAGATCTGTGGAGATTTTATGAACTATCTCATGAAATTACAATTATTCTGAAACAGCTTGCTTACATATACAGGACCTGAATATACAAAGATAAAATATCCAAAACTAAAAAGGAAATTAGAGTCTTGCAAAGCATTCTGGTCCATTAAGTGTTGATGTAACACTTCCAATCAGATTGTTTAACATAATTAAAAAAAAAAAAAAAAAAAAATTATAACACAAAACAGGGATTCATGCTTTTCCCAGAAGGTGAAATTCTATCTTTACTGGTGGTGATTGTAACGTTAACAGTAAATGGGAGGAAAAAAAAAAAACAAAAAAAACCCCAAAACAAATGAAAACTCCAGTATGAGGATATGAAACTGAAGGACAATTAGAAGACAATAGAGAGAGAGAGACTTACGTTTTAAATTATCCATAGTGTTATCCACCATTTGATTCATATGCATATCGGACAGTTGTAACTTTTCTGTATAAACAAAGACAAGGCCAAGTATTTAGTATAGCTAAACATATACAAGCAATAAAAAAAAAAAAAATGAAAAAATATCTACAATAAATACTAATGAATGAAAAAAAAAAAAAAAAAAAAAAGAAAAAAAAAGAAAGACTTTCAACACATGCAGGTCAAAAAAATAAATAGCAGCAGTAACTTAAGAGAATACAACCGAACTGTAAGAAGGGGGGGGGCAAAAATAAAGAAACTAGGCTGAGATAAATTTATACCTAATCACTACCTTCACTATATAGGAGTTTAAAGTTTGTATTTATAAACATACAATAATTTTTGTGTGAATATGCACACATTTTCACCGTCATATACACACATGTATATATGAAAAACACGCACAATTAGATGATAGAAACAAAAAAGAAAAAAGCCAGAGATATTGAGAAAATAATAGTTATTAACAAATCAACCAGCATTGTTATGACATTGTTATGACATGTGCCAAAAGGGGACATGGTTGATAGTATATTATGTTGGTCTAATTGTAAGTTGATGATGAACATGAAAGAACATATTGGTGCACAAAGGAAAGTGGTACTGAAGTCAGTGATCCCATTATTATAGGCTAAACTATCACTTGCACACAACAGTTATCAAATCTTTATACATTGTGTCAGATTTTATTATGCAAGTTTTCACAAGAAAATTCCAATTAATCAACCATTTGCTAACATATATACTTAAATCCATAGATTAAATATACCAAGTAAATTTCAGTTTATATTTTCTCATGAAAATATTTACAACTCATTTGCTTCTGTGTGATTTAATGATAAAATTCAAGTCTCATATATAACTGAGAAAAGGAGTCAAGTCGGTTAACCAGACAAGACACTTTAGCTTTATTGAAATAAATGTTTTTATATATATATTTTAAAATGATTCCATTAGCGATGGAATCTCAAAAAAAAAATTTATAATCTAGGCTCTTCTTGTGTATTGAGCACTGTTTTTTAAAAATAAAAACAAAAATACTAAAGAACTTCAGAAAAATCAATCTAGCAGTTCTTTCATATTTTATCAATATATTTATATATATATATATCTCCAAGCTTTGGGTTAAATAGTAGGTCAAACTGGACTATTCAGCCTTGACTGACAACCAATCTAGGAGAAAGAAAATACTGAATTCCCAAAACCAGTAGATGGTACTTTATAGCATGGGAACACATGATTATCTAAGCGAAGGAAAACTGATAGAAAATACTTCCTTTGAGTACAGATGTTGGATATGGGTCAATCACAACACCCCATGGAATAGTTTGATTACAGAAATCTCAACATGAAGCCTTATGTGCCACAAAGTACCAGGCAGATTAGATACACATATGTGCGCGCACACACACACACACACAAATAGTATAATTAATGATATTTACTTTAAAATTTCAGATGTAAAGATTGCCGGGAGCCATAGAAAAGTACAGGGAGCCATGGGTAAATTGTCGCCATTTTATACTTTTCATTTCACACATTGTTTGTATTCGATATTGTCAAATGCACAGTATAGTAGGATCAGTTGGGTAGTGTCTGTGAGAAAAAGAGCACCATGACACAATTCACTCCACCAGAAATTAGAAAATGGCATTTGTGCTGGAAGCTCCAATACAAACATTTCAGAGTGTTTGGGTGTCAACTTGAGGGTAGTGCAGAGAATTCAGAAAGAGTTGGAGGAGTCTAATGGTGATTACGAAGGTGTTTCAAGTGATCACTAGTGATGGTCACATTATGCTTCCATTCTTCTTCCCACAGAGTGTCAGATTCAACTATATCAACTACCTTAAGGAGGTAGTGTGGCCCTGAGTCAACAGGGTGGCTGCTGGAAGACCCTATGCCTGGCAGTAGGACTCTGCCCCATGCCACACAAATAAGAGAACCTAGTCATAGATGTCAGACAATTTCTGCGAGCACATCACCCTTTACATCTGGCCAACTAACTCCCCAGACTGAAACCCTGTTGATTGTGTGGGGGGTGCAGTTAAGTGAGAGACCAACAAAACTCCTTGTAACACCAATGATGAACTGAAGGCAAGGATTATGGCAGAATTCACCAACTTAAAGAGACCATCCAGAAGAGTTGCAGGAGATTGCAAAGTCGTCTGGAGTCCGTGGCTAAAGCCAATGGCAATTTTATTGAATAAAATTACTCTTTAGTATTTCAAGATATTTTTGTGTGATTTTGGTAAATATATCTTAAAATGAGATGTCAGTGTTATTTTCATTTTTGCATAATTTAGACAACAATTTATCCAGGGAAATGCCAAAGAGTAATGATAGAACAGTCTAAAAAAGAAATGAAGTATTATTAAGAATAAAAGAAAAAAAAATAAAGGGTAATAAGCAATAAAAGTGGACTGACCAGCAAGAAATGATACAGAATATTAAGAAATAATGGCTGAAGAAATGAAATCAATCAAACCACCACCTTTAAGTAAACATCAGAAAGTGAAACGTACAAGTTAAATGAAGTGAAAAAAAAAACCTGATTTCTGAACAGTAATTATTAGAAAGACCTGATCACTTTGTTAGAGATGTGGTCCTTCATACAGATCAATCAACACAATTTAAAAGACTATGAGGGGGGAAGGAGGAGAAATGTTTGGGGCCAATAGGCAGTAAAATTAAAGGAGGATAAATGCCAAGAATTATTCTAAGTTCTTAGACAAAGACATTTTTGAGTGGCACAGGTTACAATGAAGAAACTTTAAACTCAAAAGTATATAACTGCAAGACAATATTCATTCACATTCTATAAAGCTGACTTTGGCCCAATTTGCAAAAGTTTTCAAAGACAGCAAATTAATAGAATGGCCCTCAGCCTCAGCCAAAAGAAACTAACTAAAGGGCCATCATTAATATATGCGAGAAAGAGAAAATTAAAAGGATTGTGAATAGAAAACCATGTCCAAAGACCTCTGGGAAGCAATATAAACTATTGCAAGTAATGTTAAAATCAAAACAATAGAAAAGTATTGGGGAGGGGGGGAATCAATGAATAAAGGATTGATGAAGTTTATAGCATATCAAAGACTTACATATTAACATGCAAAAATAATTTAAACTGATATCTAGGATATTGTGTTAATCAACTATGTTTAATAGCCTATATACTTCATTCAATTCCAAATCCAGTGCTTTCTCACTTCTGTTGTAGGAACCCAATTGACAATGTCTTCAGGGATGTAGCTGTACTCACCACACTTGGCCAATGACAAGTTGGTGAGACCCATAGGTGGAAGTTTTGAATTCAAAGTTGTTGTTCTCTTAGACTGGTTGCTACTCAAGGCTATAAGACCCAGTCTGTCATGCTATTTACCCGTAACTGGGTAGAGGATAGATGGAATCCTACCTTTCCAAAGGTGTATTTGCACATAAACAAATGTAATGAACTTGATTGGAATTCAAACACTGCTCAATCCAACCTGCAATCCATTACTCCACGGTGCTACCGTATATTTTGTATTTATTTAACTAATAAGAATTTGTTGCACTTTATATAATAAAACCTGACACTACCAAAGCTTTTTATTATTGATATTTTTAATAAGAACATTATATGAAACCCACAAGATATATTGCTCATATAAATATATCTTGAATATTTACCAACAATGCTTGGTTAATACTAATTTTGTTGAGAAAACTGTCTTTCATAAATTGTAATGTATGTTTTTTTTTTTTAATTCACAAAATCTACACGCTAAAAGAGAAAACATCTTTGCATGTGTGTACATTACATTTTATGAGGTGGAAAAAATGAAAAAGAATCTGGCACAGTAAAATCTGCATAGGGTATATACCACCAAATATAATACTTTTGAAATTAATGTTAAATAAACAAAATCCCCCCCCCCCGTGTTAACAATGGAAACAATATGAACCTGACAGGACATTCTTTTATATATTCCTAAAAATAACAAAACGGTCTATTCATATTTTTGCAGTAGTTTAAAATTGTATAACAAAGATCCATACCCTCTCTAAAGCCATTGGTGCTAATCGATATTTTTGTACAATTCTAAAAATCAAAAATATGTCACAACCTCAAAGTATATTAAATTATTTATTATTTTTGTTATTGTTTGTTATGAATACTCAAAAAAGATAATTTAAATTTTGGTTACGGATGCAATCATGTTTGTTTTGTTTTTTTAATGATTACTCCCATTATTGTTGTTTCTAATACAGGTGCAGAAGAACTACTTCTACATAATGGTAAGACATTAGTGGCAATGATGTCTTCATCTAGCTACGGTCTTACTATTATTTAGGAGATATTTTTGCCACAGCCTGTACTTTTGTCAATTTTGAAAAATTACAGCAATTATTATATTTGAAACTATAGATGTAAACAGTATTTACAGCTTAAATAAAAAAAATTATAAAACTGATACTTAAAAGAAAGTTACCATGAATAAGAATGATTTTTAAATTGTAACAAAATCAAAATTATATTTATTGCACGAAACTTCAGCAGAAAAAAAAACAAAAAAACTCAGAGGCCAAATATATGCCTTCAAACAATATATTATTATAAGAAAATTAACATTAATTACCATCTTTGGCACAATCTACTGCACTGATATTTGGCAGAAAACAGAGAAATAATAATTATGGCCATTTCTAAGTCTGTATAGTTAACAGTTAATTTATTGATAAAATTTGTTTAGGGTAGTTTCAACTTATATTGATTTTTATTGTAAATGATTAAGAAAAAATATGATAAAATATCCAATGATTGATCAAATTCATTTTCACTTAAAGCAAAAATTTACACAAGTCTGGAACATGATAGTCATTAAATAAATTTTTTTGATTTGTTTTAAAACTAGTTGATATTAATTATTAGAAAATATTAAGAATGATTAAAAAGGAAAAAAAAAAAATGTCAAAAAATATTTTTCAGACAAGGACTGCTTACTTTCCAAGGCAGCAATTTTCAAAATGTATTTGTTGGAATCTTCGTTGGCCAAGTCAAGCTCATCTGTAAAAAGATGAAAATTCAAATTAAATTTCATATCACTTTTTAACTACACTTGATGATTTTTAGGCAACAGGATGCTAAAAGTCAGCTTTTAAAAATTATATGAGAAAAATTATATGCTTAAAAGTTCTTGGCTCACCAAGGAGGAATTATAAATAAGGAAACAAAAAAAAAATTCTGTTTGTTCATATTTTAAAAAGTGTGTTGAATGAAGAACTTTTCACTAACTCCCACACTCCAGTATACATATATATCTTAAACTATTTGTAAAGTGTTCAATAAATTTATTTTTATTTTGGGTTTTTTTTGGGTTTTTTTAACAAGATCTTAGCTTTATTATATGGGAGCAGTTCATCATGCCTTTCGACTTTATTCTCAAAACATTTTATGCAGGTGAAATTCATTTTCATTGATATTAAACTTGAACACAATCACTTGTAGGTCATCAGTCAAACAAAGCAGACAAACAAAAACACAACCCCCACCCCAAAATAAAGCTATTTCTTCAATTATTCATCAACTAAATTTCCCTGTTTATTGTTTTATCAATTTCACCTCTCCACCTTTCCTTAGGGTATCTCACATATGGTAATCTCAAAGAAAACACTTTATTTAATCTACAAGAGACTGCTATTCTTATTCCTGCACCCATCATATTCAATGCTCTTAAAAGAATTTCCTAACTTATAACTTCTTCCCTATCATACTGATCTGCATTGAACTGATATTGATTTTGGCATAACCTGACCCAGGAGTTGAATTCATGATTTTCAGAGAACCCAAAATGTTTAATCCACTAAGTCATGTCTGGTATACTATTTATACAATTTTTATACTTCCTTTTCCCAAACTTTCATTAAAGGTTAATTCAATACGTTTTTAGTATTAAATATCTTGATATCAAGCTACAAATGAAGGATAATGAAAAAAAAAGTTCATTTAAAAAAAAAAAAAAAAAAAAAAAAAAAGTTCAATCATTTTTAGAATAAAATTTTCAATCCAAATTAGCCAACAAATACAGTTTGCATACTTTAATATTTTTATTTTTTTTCTAAATTCAGAGAAAATCTTGAAGAACTTACTTTGTATCTGTTCAACCTTTTCTCGGCTTTCTTTTAACTGAGTTTCCAGTTCTTGAATTTTGGCTACAACAAAAGAAATTAAATATAAGCAAAAAGTCAGACAAAAATAAAGACACCATAGTTCAAATACTGCTGAATTAAAAACCCACCAGCTGTAGCAGGATAATTACTTCAAACTTTTCACATAATACCTATTCAAATGTTAAGTACAGCTGAAGAAAATAAAAATAAAAAGGTTAAATCTTTAAGAACACAGAACAAATACGAGAATCCCCAAGTCTAAAAGAGACAGAAATATCAATGAAAAGGCATCAATATTTTTGTCTTGCTTCCATGTTTTTACCTTATTTTTTTTGTCAATTTCAGGATAATGCAAGGAATAGAAAACTGAAAGAAGCCAGTTAAATACATGTAAAAGAAAAATGATGAAAAGTGGCTTAATGTTTCAACAATAGGTGATCACTTCTAATAGATTTAAAAATGAAAATGAATTCACAGTATATGAAGCATTTCATTTATACTGCTTAATTTCAATGGCACACAAAGATCAGATATGATAATTATCTGGCATAGAAAAAAAATTGTTTACCATAGTTTCTTATATAATACAACCCAGTGTTTCTGAAGCTAAAACAAGGAATAAATTACATCCTTGAGTATAAAACAATCCCATAATACATCCACCCTTATGTAAATTTCTTTTCACTAATTGTGCTCTATTATTTGTTAAAATCTCAATGTTATACGTATATTTCACTAAAATATTTAATTTCCCCACAATATTAAAGAATAGAAACTGGATGTTTAACCATCGTATATTTCTTCTAATTTTCAGGGAAAGTTGCTAACTAGACATACCTGGTAATACATTTTAAGGTGTTAATTAATCTATCATACTTTTCTATTTGATATGACTTTCTTACATTTCTATATATCAATAAACAATGAAAAGTCTTTCATTAAGAATGAACAGAAAAACAAATTGTCAACATATAAAATATGTTTTGTAAACAACTGTTATCAACACTTGCCTACTTTGTGTTTTATCCAGTGTGCTAATTGAATGTATTTGCAATCTTGCCGTTTCAAATAAGAGGTTTTTAAGTCAAGCAAAAATCTCTGAAAACATATTTTTTTTATCTTTAACATTTGTTCAAAATCTCATTCTTCACACAAGAAAATATAATACATATTAATATTTACATAATCTTTCTAAATAACCAAATATTTTAAAAATATTAAGAAAGTAATGCTTCCCATTTATTTTCATGGAAACTGCAACAGATACAGGGAGCAATATAACACTGTTGGATTAGGAAAGTTTTTTCAATTACAAAATGTTATTTTTGCAGTTGGCTAAGTATTTTCACCAACAAGGGCCTGCCACACAGTGCTTATAAATGTGGTTTGTCACTCTCACACACACCTCATTATTGCCACTGCTGATACACTCCCACTATCATGCTCAGAAATTATTTAGTAAGCATTTAGCAAATATCAATGAATTCCAATGGGTGCAAGTTTTTCCATATGAAGGAATTCATTGACACACCACCTTTGCATGTACTTTCATGTCAGACATCATTTTGCCAGAATGCTGTTCAGTTGAGATTTGTAACAAGTTGCAAGTATGGGTTACTGGCAGGAAGCTTCAATCTCTACTGCAATGCCATCAACATCCACTTTTGACATGTGCCAACATAATAAAATATAAAGAATTATCTGAAATATATATGTAATTTTTTTCTTTAAAACCTTAAGTATCCAATTTTAAAAATTTTTTACAAGGACAAGTAAAAATTAGCTTAACCACAATAATAATCCAAGTCATCACATTTAAACTGTACTTAACTCATATTTCAACCCAATACTTTATGATCAATACATTTCCTGAGTGTGTTCATTTAGATGTATGTATAAAATGTGAAATTGTTTATCTTAAATTCAAATTTATTTTTCCCTACACATTTTCTTTCTATGAATCTACTGACATAAAAATTAAAAATGTCAATGTACATTTGGAGGAAGCGTTCACTTATTTAAAACCTATGTACTTACAAATTAAAAAATAAAATTTAAAAAAAAAAAAAAGGGAATAGCTATTGAAAGAGGAGCAAAGTTGCCACAGCTGGTAATGACACTGTCTTACTGAAGATAAACAAGCAAAACCCAACACCACACAACAACCTGATTTTATCACACAGTTTCTTCTGTCAACCTGTCACATTACAAAGCAAACAGACAAATGTTTTGAAAAGCATGTCACAATAATATTCCACAATGGAAGCCCAAAGGTTAGTGACTATTTTACCTTTTTTCTGATCTGATATAAATCTTTACTAAATTTTTCAGTGGGTATTTTTTGTCCGTTTTAGTCAATATATCAATTTTCAGGTGTTTAATACGGATTTCAAGCTTTTGAACATTTTTATTTTCCTGTAAACTATGCAACCTAAAAATTGTAATGGTACTATTAGCAGTTTACTAATGTGAAAACATTCAGCATTCATTGAACAGCCGGTGCTACTTCTAGTTGAAATTTATAAAATTGAGACAATTTTTCAGGAAAAATAGGTTTCTCAAATCCAGAAACTTATTCTATTCAGTATGGATAGTTTCCTTAAACTTTTATTTGAAATATTGTGGAATGTCAACAACTTGATCATGACATTCATTTTCTCTTTGAGTTACATGTTCTATCTATTTAAGTTGTTGAAAGTCAGAAAGTGATGGGGTTTTTATTCTGTACGTTTTTTTTTTTTTAGCACTGGCCCACAAGGTTCAAAAAAGGATGGTCTTTGCTAAGACCTACAAGCTTCACTCACTCAGTGCCATTTTTAACCATTGTATACAGCTGACATATTTCTGAAGGAGTTTGAAGTCATAAATGACTTCCATATAAATGCCTCAATCTGACAAAGCTATTTAAGAATATTACAAGAGTTTTTAGGCTAATGTTTTGCTTTTGAAGCAATCTGTGGTCTTGGATGAAACTATCACTAGGACACAGCCTAGAGACTGAATTGGACAGTGCTCTTCTCAAAAGACACTCAAGTAAAGCCTACCTTTTCAACTCCTTCCAATAAATTAAATTCCAAATGTTTACTTAACTGATATGTGCTAAGTATAAAAGTGTATCTAACACTGTTGGGAGAGAGAAAGAGGATATTTCTGTAAATATGGGGAGAAAAAAAAACAAAAAAACATACACACAGGTGAGTGTATTACAGAAGTATCATTTATTTATACAAAACTTTCTTTTTTAAAATGCTTTATCCACTGTGCTATGTGTCCTCAATGTGTCCTCCTTTCAGAAGGAAATTAGCAGGTGATAACTGATAACTGACATCCATCAAACATGGCACGTGGAACTAGGACAGTCTACCCCAGTGAGCGAAATAAAGGGTTCAGTTCGAAATTCCAACCACCTGAAGAAGGCCGGAGCGTACAACGGCCGAAACGTTGTGACAAATATGGCGACAAAGATGAGGACAATAGTCCGACTAATGTAAATACTGTACATAATACCTCATCTCAGAAATATAGACAGACCCTTTAAAATCCTTGTGAATTATTTGCTTACAATGCCTTAAATGTACTTTCATTAAAAACTGTTGGAAGATTTAAGCTAATGAAGGTACAAAAAAGTCAAAATAAAAACAATTTGTAGAGATACAGGAATATTTCTGAAAAGATAATTTTCATCAGTGACATCAAGGGGAGTTAAATCTAACAAGCAAATGAACTGAATTGATTCTGAAATTTTACTCCAGCTTAAAATAAAAAATAAATGTGCAGGAGAGATCATACAGGTTAATTATCACCAAGACAAAAAAAAAAAAAAACATTCAGAGAAAATAAGTTTAACATTAGAAAAGCAATCCTTGAAGGAAGCTATTTTTTAATTGCTTATCAAGATGCCAATGTAGAATTCCCAATTGCTATATTAAAAAAAAAAATATTTTAACAATTTCATTTTCAAGTGGATCCAACAAGGTATGCATAGGTGTTTGATATTTACAAATGCTTCAACATATTTGAACGAGTGTGGAGTGAGACATATTCAAAGATTATAACCAAATTGTATCAAAATTATGGTTTTCCTGGAGTTTCTCACCACTGAAGAAGAATAAAATATAACGAAATGCTGCAAAAGTACAAAGTTTAATCTGCCCTTGAGCCAAAACTTTGAACTGCTTAGTAAACATTTTTCCCCAATACTAAAACAGAATAGAAAGATAAAATCAGAAGCATTTGGTTTGGGATAACAAGATGAGAAATTAATCAGAAGGAAATAAGGGAATAAACAAATATTGATAATAATAATAATAATAATTTAAAAGAAAATTTAAATAAAAGTAAATTAAATTTTTTTCAGAAAAACACTCGTTTAATCACCCAGATTTTGCCTAAGCTTGTAAAAAAGGCAAAATGCTTAGAGACTAAAAAAAGAAAAAAAAAAGGGGGGGATTTTATAATGTCCAATACACACCCTGTTGGAACAAGTTTAAGCAAACTCAAAAATAAATCTGAAAAACACTTGCAACAATCAAAGAATAGATTGATAATGGTTTCTTTTGAATAAGTTTAACAAAATTCTTAATGTTCATACATACACACACAAAAACATGCAACTTTAGACATTGATATTTTTTAGTATTCTCACTTCTATATCAAAAACTAAGATGGCTTTCTATAAAGAAATTGGTTTAAACAAAGTCTTTCACTTATATTTTATTAATGCATCACCCTGATCTCATTTATCAATTTTTCTTTTAGCATACAAATCTTTAAATTTCTTTTTAAATCCACACATTCTAATCATTTTTAAGCAAAAGAAAATCTGAAATGTTCACATGAAAAATAAATTACAAAAGAAGTAAGAGTTTTATTGCAGACAAACATTTTAAATCACATGGCAAAATGAATCAAATGCTGATTGTTTTTGTTCAGAGCTCACGGAGAGAAGGAAGTTAATTTAAATAAATGAGAAACAATTACATTTTATTTCAAACTTTGTCAATCTTTTTTCAGCGATTGAAAAATTCAGCAAGAGATCAAAA